TTTCAACAATGAACTTCTGTTTTATGTAGCTTATAGCTCTATTAGAGATGAACATACATTTCCCCATTAAATTAGTGATCATACTGCAAGGATTAAGAAACCTTTTTCAGTCCTAAATACTATTTCTACCATTTCACCAAGTCCTCTAACCTCTCACTGCACTTTCACACACCAATGTGTATCTTCTTCTGACATCTGCATGACTTTTCTTCTCCATTGCAATTCACTACAGGTAGTTAAGAGTAGCTAACGATATAATTCCACGATATTGCATCTGTGTTTACATCTGGCTCTAATCACATGCTTAGTAGTGATTTATATAGGGGAAAGCAAAAAAGGAGGGAAAAAAAACACAACTATGAGAAACAAGTTGTTATTTTAAATGTATCATTCCCAACTTGATATAACTTTCTCACCACAGGTTTCAAAGTTACTGCAATTGCAAACATAGGGTATGGCATTTCAAAAACACTGGATATAAGAAAGAAAAAAATGTACTAACCAAATATTTCATATGCTTTTATACTAGGATCATTTTAACAAGTGATTGGTACTTTCAATTTATAAGATAGTTAAAGTTTTGCTCCATGCTACAACTGTATATGTCATGGCTCTGTGGTAAAGTTCCTCAGTTCATAAAAAAAATAAGTTGATAGTAACCAAACTTATTCACTACTGAACTCTAGGAATTAGAACACCACACTCAAGAACTGTGTCAGGAAATGTAAAACTATATTTACACACACACACACACACACAAACACACACTCTCTCTCTCTCGAAGAACTATGACACCCTAAAATGAGAAATTCACACAGGCTTACCTGATAATTCACATAATTCCTACTTATTTCAAGATAAAGAGTATTACTGTTGCATTATGGTACTGGTGTTGGTGCATTTACAGAAATACCATTAAAAAAATATTTAGGTAAAAATACCTAAAAAACATTAGGGAAGTAAATACTTCTAACATTTGACCTAATGAAAGGCTTCTAAAAGTTTACAGTAACATTAACATAATTATATAGACACAGGCCAAAAAGACATAACTAAATACATTAAATCTCATGGAATATAAGTTACAATACCAATTTATATTTGTTGAAAAGAATTCTTTGAAAACAAGCACACAATAATTAGTAAACTACAGAGACTCTTAAATGCATTTAAAACTTCAAAACAAATTTACATTCCTTAATTTATAATTGGTAAATTTAAAATTTATACACTACCTGATTCTGAATCTTAATCAGAAGCGGAAGGAAAAGATAAAAATCGCTAACATCTGAGTGACCGCTGTTAAATACCTTCTTCAGTAGTTGTCTGCCAACCCATGTATAGTTTTAAGTCTATCTAAGTTATGAAAAAATAATTACACAATATCACCAATTAATTTCAAATTTTCTTACCATATCCAACCATTTACATTTTTTAATGTCTAAAAATATATATTTCCAGGGATCTTACCATGAATGAAAAAAGAGATTAAAAAATATAGTAAGAATGCAAAACAAATACGGACCGATCATTACATATTCTTCTCTAAACCTAACAACATAAAACTTTCTTTAAAACAGCAGTAATACAACTGGTCTACAGCAAGACTAAATTGACGGCAATCTCAGCTGCAAGATTTGAAAAGACCAAATTTATACAACTGTTCAAGCTAAAACAATCCTACTTCTTTCCAGTCCTAGCAGACTAGAAAATGCTTTTGCCTAATTTACCCAGGGCTAGTTTTAAATAAGGGTAAGACCCGGAATTATACTGAAGGTCCCTATCAAAGCAGAGGTCCCAAATCAACAGGAGATAGACAGATTTATGGTATACTACACCAATAATAATTTTTGTTAGCATCCTCTACTGGTGGTTTCCAAAGACAGCAAGTAGAAATGCAAATGACAGAAGATATGTACCTGCCAGTCCATCTAGAGTGAATTAATCAGTATATGGTCATTAGCAGCTAGAGTACATTTCTCAAATAGATAAATAAATAAATAAGTAACCACAAAGAGTAGAAGTGGAAAATGAGAAGGCAGATTTTTAAAATACAGCAAACAAAGCATTACATTATAAACGGTAAAAAAAAAAAAAAAAATCAATTTAAGCCACTAACATCATCACCATAGAGTTACTACATAAGGTTTCAGGCTTTGGCCAAACCTTGCTCAACTGTTTTACCCCTGTCAAGTTACATTACTTGATGCTCCCATTAACATCCTACTCTGCAGATATATTCCAGAAAGGAAATTAAAATGTTTTACTGAAGGCTTAGCAGAAAATCTGCATGCCTTATTTTAAAATGAACAAAAAATTATTTACATATAAATTACAGTATAAAGTATCTCTATGACCACCTCCCACTGTATACATCATTTATTCCTTCATTAAAAAGATTTAAGAGTTAACATTTTCCAAGCGATTCTCTCCAATAAACAACTGCAACTTAAATATGACTGCGTTGCTAAGAAATCTTAACCAGCACCTATCATGAGGTTTCACAACACAATGGCATACAACTTCATTTTTAATTTGCAAATCATGAGGCTTAATCAAATAGCGTGGCTGTAATAATCAGCAATGGATGAAATGCATCTGAGAACAAAAAGAAATACAAGGACAGAGCCAACACTGATGAAAATGGAAGATACCTGTAGTAGCACAGTGCTATCTGAAACACCTTTTGTTTTCTGAGAGTGATGCACACTGCAGACGAGACATTTTGTGCTAAACAGCCCCAAATCTGTTTCTCTAATAGTAAACACAAAGGAAAAACACTGACAGCAAGCGCGGTAAATAAATCGCTCCCTTGAGAATGAAAGCAGCAGACTGGAGGGGCTGACACGCGCAGGGGAAAACTAAACACCATCTTTTTCTACCTGCGCAAGTTGCCATTTGCTGCAGCCGTCCAGCAGCTCTCTTTCCTCCTGATTTCAAGTACCTTTCGGGATCGCTTTTTCCCCCTAAGTCAGCTGTTGATATGCCTTATGGGTGTAATATTCGTATCACAGGATCTTTAGGAGGAAAATCCATCCTTTCCTGCTCAGGTAAACATGTTTACAGCAGCTGCACAGACGCTGGGTGGTTCAGACTCACATGTCACACACATGTCGTCAGCAACAAGAAAAGCCCCTTTCTCTGGCGACGAACATTTTAAATAAGGTAAAACGCGAACAGCCCTTTCCAAACCAACTTACCTTTCATAAAGCCACAGCAGCAACAGCTCGATATAGCACACACACTATTTGACGCTAAAACAGGAAATTAAAATTGCAATAGCCTGTGCTCCGCTGCGGCCGTAACAAGTCATCTCTCCACAATGAGGACGCCCAGTATTAGTTATCGATCATAACTAACGGAGGTCTTTAAAATACAAACGTGTATTTGGATAACTAACACCGTTCATGAAAGCGGTGATTCTAATGTCGACTCGAATATATTAAAATTACGTTTACGATTGGAAGGAAACATCTTGAAACCGCCTAAAACCTTCGTATCTGCTTCGAGACAGGAAATCCCACACAAAATCTGAAATTGCCAGGAAAGGTTACAAAACCTCGCGTTTCGCATCCCAGAGGGGAGGGAGAAAAGGGGCCCAGGCGTGGGGGTGGGGCGAGCGCCGGGTAGTTCTGACTTAAACCCGCATTTCCTCATTTTCTGGCGGACACGGCGATCCCATTTCAGGCGCCTTTATTTCCCGACTCTCAGAAACTCGTTTTAAAAATAACGCAGGAACCCACACGAGCCCCTCGGTCCGCTAGGTCCGTGCAATTCCTTATATAGACTCGGCCTCAGCCGGCGGCAGGGCCGTTGCCGCCCATTATTCTCCAAACAGGTACCGGGCGGGCGGGGGCCGCGCTCCAGCCTCGGCCCTGTCGCCGCAGGAACTGTCCAGACAATACCCACCAGCAGACGTTCGCTGCCGAGCGGTGGGCGGGCGGGCGGGCACAGCGGCGCCCGAGATAAGCAGACATGCAGTCAACTTACACCGTCTCTCCCAACTGCAAAAGGCGACTGTGCAAACCACCACCACATGTTCGGGGCTCGCGCTCGCTCTCTCGTCATTATTGTTATTTTTCTAAACTCTCACGCCAGGCAGGGCGGGTGTGCGTCCCCGGCGCAACGGCACTCATCAGTAAACACCGCGGCCCGCAGCGCAGGCAGCGGCGCCCCGCGTCCGTCGGTCCGGCCGCCCCTCCCCCACCCTCCTTCCACCCGAGACCCGGAGCGCCTTCCAAGCTCCGTTCGCCGGCTTCACGCCCCGCGCGTCCGGCCCAGGTAACAACTTCCCCAAACCGAAAGAGCACAAGGGAGGCGCACGCTCGGCACCCCATCCCGGCGCGGAGGAGGCGTCCTCCCGGGCGGGGACCTGTCTGCGGTGCTTCCCGGTCCCGAGACCAGGTAACAACTCCGCAAACCCGCCGGCCCCCGCGGCTCCCGCGGCCGCAGCTCCGCGCCCGCCCCGCCCGCCCGCGCCCCCGCCGGCTCCCCGCGGGACGCGGACCGCGCTCGGGGCGCGGCGGCGGCCGCGGGCGCGGGAGAGGAAAGGCGCTTAGGCACCCGCGTCCCGCGCCGCGAAGCCCCGTCCCGC